GGGGGGGGCGTTGAAAAGATTAGGTACTACAACCGGACAGAAACACAAGCCGGTGGTATAATTTTGTGTTTTGTGTGTCTGAATTAGCGATGGAGCTGGAGCAGCTGCCCGACGAGGTGGTGATGCTGGTGCTTGGGTACGTGGCCGTCGACGACCTCTTCGCGTTCCGGCTCGTGTGCAAGCGACTCGGCGGCCTGGCTCTGCACCCCGGAGTGTGGCGGCACAGACGACGTGCCACTGACCGTCGCACCATCTCCAACGACCCCGACGGCCCCAAGAAGCTGTGTCGGCTGCTGCGCCTGGCGCCGCGCCTGGCCTCGCTGTACGTCCCCGTCGAGTCGACACAGGACCACCACTTCCCGCTGTACGCCACGACCAGGTGCGCGGTGCGCCGGCTCAACTTGGACGTGTCCCACGCCGGGAGCGTGCCCGCCGCACTGATCGTGCGCAACCAGGAGGCGCTCGGCCACCTGACGGTCGTCGTGCTCACGTTCTTTTCAACGGTGGTCGACGCTGCCGTGCTCCTCGGGACGTTGGCGTCGACGTCCGTCTTGAAGAAGCTCGAGGTGCGGCACGGCTGGCTGGTCGACGGACTATCCGCGGGCAGCCTGCACTATTCCGTGGCCCGGCCGTCCCTCACGTACTTTAAGTGTCATCTCACGTCAGATACACAGCCCTTCGTCGACCTGGTACTGGCTGGGCACGCTGCTACCCTGGAAACGGTCGACCTCGGAGGACCTCGTCACATCAGTCACATCACGACCTCGACGGGGTGCTTGCCCGCCTGTATGCCCAACCTCCGTGACCTCAACTGCTCGCTGCTCCCCGGCATGGAGACGCTCGCCCCGTCGCTGACCAATGTGACGCTGCACGTGACGCCCGAGATGCGACTCGGAGTCCTCGGGGCCGCGGAGATGCTGCGGCGCGCCTCCAAGCTCCGCTACCTCACCTTGAAGTACTGCCCCGCGGCCCGCACCTCAGCTTACGTCGGGGTCGATCTGGTCGAGGCCCTGGCGCTGTCGGGACGGTCCGCCGTGCAGGTGCTGGACATCGACAACGATCGCGAGAACGAGCTCGCCGACGAAGAGAACGACGACGGGGTGGAGTACCTCCCTCAGCTGCAGCCGCTGGTCAGGGCGCTGCCCTCTCTGCCGGCCCTGCGCCACCTCATGCTGTCCGTGTACGTCCCTCCGGACGAGCTGCTGCTGGCCATCACGCCGCAGACGGCGCCGGCCCTGCGGGAACTCATGCTGTATCCCATGCGGTGGCTGCCTGCTCGCTGCGCCCACGACTGGCGCCATAAGGACTCGGTCCAGACCCTTCTGTCTCGCAATCCTGTGCTCAAGTTTAGCGTGCTCACGTCGCCGTACTGCCTCAAGGGCCAGCGCTGTGGAGCCTGCGCGCAGGGCTGCCACAACACGCTGTGGGAGTGGGATTGGGACTTGGAGTTTGACGAGCATGGAGACGTTAACAGATCAGAATTTCAAGACCTTATTCATATTCGATGAAGTGGTCACAGTTTTTTTTTTTAACCTAGTCATATTAAATGTTTTGTCGCTAAATGTTCTTGATTGTATGATTCATGTTTAAAAGAACCTTTTTCTGAGAAAAAAAGACAACTACTACAGCTACCTACTATTCTTCTCATTTCAAGGGATACCTTAAATCCGAACATGTGGTTATTATTCTAGTCCTACTGGTTCAACTGGAAAATGTTGACCTCCAGGCAGTTCGTATTTAGGAGAGGGGGGGGGGAGGGGGTACGCCTCGGGCTCGGGGTACAGGTATATTACAGCTTGATTTCTAAACAGTAAACAGTTGAAACAATTTTAATGAAATCATTAACAGTCTCAGTCTAATTTCATGGCATTCACCATCGCCACACCCGAGCCCCCGAGCAGCCCTGTTCTAAAGGGGAAAGAAAGGGGGTGTGGGTCACGTTTCCTTCCGGGAGAGACAGTCGGGGGCAGTCAAAAATTAGCCCACAGGGCTAAGAAACAGACAGTCTCCTCGCCCAGGCGAAGCCATACACCGCCTCCGCCATGCTGCCTGCACTGTGCTATACATGGCGAAGGATATTGGAGGGGATGGGGCGGACCTTGCCTCCCGGTATAGACATAGTCTTGGGAACTGTCGAAAAAGTTGAACACCGTCCCACCACCAACTCGGGCTCTCTCGTTGATGCTGCCACGCCACGCCACGCCACGCCGCGCCGGGCCCCACCGAGGTGTCTCCCCGCGGGAAGCAGGAGAGGGGGATGAAATGCAAGGGGCGAAATGAAGGCCATCAGGCGAGGCGACGAAGACGGAGCGGGCGGCGTTAAACAAAGTCAGTTTATTGGATGGTGCTCCTCTCACGGCCACGCCGCGCCGGGCGGGGGGGGGGGGGGGGGGCGGCACAAGGGGGGACCCCCCCCCCCCCCCCCCCCCCGGGGGGGGGGGGGGGGGGGGGGGGGGGGGGCGCACACAGGTTGGCACTCCCCGCCGCTGCCGCCCTCTTCTTCAGTTCTCCAGACCCTGCTGGAGAAGTTTTTGCGCCTTCGCCTCACGCCTGGCCGCGCGCTCCTCCACGCCGCTCCTCAAAGCACCCGCCCCGGCGCCCACCCTCTCCCTCTGCGTACCCGCCCGCAGCACCACCTACACTGTACAGGGTGTCCTGGGCGCGCGCTCCTCCACGCCGCTCCTCAAGGCACCCGGCGCCGGCGCCCACCCTCTGTGTACCGTACCCGCCCACCGCACCACATCGACACTGTACAGGGGTCGAAAACTCGCGGCGGCTCCCGAGCCAAGCGCGGCTGTCCGAGAGCCGTGCGTTCGGCTGGAGCCGAGGTTCCCGAGAGCCAAGCTCGGGTTGGCCCGCGTCGTGTGTGTCTGTCTTTGTCTCACTCATTGAGTGCCCTTGGTTAGGAGTGACAGGCCGGCGGACGACATCACTAGCTCTGAGTCTCTCTAACTCCATTGCCCAAGAGCTCGTAGAGCGTGTGGCCCATGCTGGCGCGGCTTGGCGGATAGAGCTCGAGTTTGCGACCCCTGACCTTCACCCAGCAGGTAGCCGTGCTGACAAGGCGAGTGTGATCTGAAGCGGACCTTTGGTTTATTGTTTAAATTTGCCGCTTTCATAGCTCATTTTTGCACTCATTAATTCGTTCGATCGTTCTCTCGTTCGTTCCAGCGTTCTTAAGTTTAAAGAGATTAGTCTCTATGGAATAGCTGATAGCATCTGCGCTTTTATGACGTTTCCGGTGTATTTACATTGTCCGACCTACTTTTCTCTGACCTGGTAATTTTTCCAAAATCCCTAAAAGTGCTGTCCGACCTAATTTTCTCCGGCCTCGTCGATATTCTGAAATTTGAGTAGAATGTGCTTTAAAGAGGAACAGGCTTCAAAAATAAAAAATAAAAATGGGGGAGTACTTTCCTCATCCCACCGCAGTAGTTAGCGAACTGTGGT